GACAAAATCGCTGCGAAGTGGACAAAAGAAGCAGTCCGTGCATCTTTATATATATATATATATTATAGTTATAATATAATGTATCTAATACATAACTCTCGATAGGAAAGAATAAAATCTGAGCAGCGGGTTCTGCCTGGCATGCAAGTGCAGACATTTTGAGGCTCAAAATCCGAGCCCAAACAATGGATCCTAATCCACTTTGAGGCATTATGCCAAGTTCTGGCTGGCAGGTATGGAGCAAGCAGATGCCTCTCTTTGCAGAGCGTTCTGGTTTCTGGCCTTGCTTTCTGGCTCTGCCTTGAGCGCGCCATTGATGAGAGGAGGCTGTAGCTGCAGCCGTGGTCGCAGCTGCTGATGTCCAGACTGTCCGTCCAAACAAATTCTTCGACTCATACCAGGGTTCTGCCCTGAACCTGCGACACTGCTCCAGGTGGCTTGTATGTCGTGCATGCGACCGCACTTTTGACCATGTCTCTTTCATGGGCGCTTTGTGGGCTTGGTGGTGTTGCATGGATGCAATTTGATAGCTAGCAGCTACGGTCCACTTGTAACTTGCTTCGGACATTGCCAAGATCTTTGCCTTGTTCTGTTCATGAACAAGTTTCAAGGATGGCTTTCCCATGTCGCCCTCGTTCACGATTTCTCGCCCTAAAAGTTAAAAGGGTTCTTAGTCTTGCAAAGTTTGACCCGTGCTAAAGACTTACCTCTTGCGCCTCTTGGCTCTTGGTGCTTGACTCCATTGGACTCCCAAGGTTTTTCCACATTGGGCGGCACCGCTTTTCTGGGCCTTTGGAGTCGGCAGCTTTGGCACCTTGGCTCTACAAGTAATCTCGGATTTCGATGGTTGATGCATCAGACTCATGGAACAATGGTTTGATGTCCAGCATGGAGTATGGAGGCCTTTGGGCCATGGGTTTGATATGTTTTGATGTCACGGAACCCCTTACTCGTACTACACAGACCACTTGCTTCCTATGTCGCTTTGTAGAACTAAGTTCAGACTTTGGGGCTAGTCTGCTGTAGTTGGCACCCGAAAGCAACACGATTCGAGGGCCTTCGGAACAGCCTTCGACTAGATTGCTTCAGCGGTCCAGGAGTTGCCTTCGGGGTCCTCTCGCCCTGCTTCGGCGCCTTGATTTCAAGCCGTGCTCCCAAAGAGCTCCAGGGGCAGATCTTTGGACTTTCCATCGTGGTGCCCTGGCGTAAACCGCAAGCAAAAAGCAACTACCGGTACTGGAGTTTCAGTTGACTTCACAAAGGGAAATCAACCGGTGCAATCATTCTGTATCGTGTTGAAGCAGATTTGCACAAAATTGTAATTTCTTTGTTCGCCACAGGTTGGCACACTCTTGGGGATGCCGTTGGGGCCTTTGTGGAGCCAGGCACGGCATTTTAGTTGTCAGTCAGGAGGGCAAACAGTTGGATACATCAGAGAATGCCTCATCAGCCATCCACCTCCACCTGCAAGAATTACTTCATGTTTGTGCAGTATTAACGGGCCAGCTGCAGAGCCATTGGCCATTTCGTTGACCTGTGTGTTTCGCGGTTTTGCGGATCTTTACCTTGCATCTCCTCCCCGCCCTCAGGTGCGGGGAGCTTCCTTGAAGAAGCGTGAGCTATCCTGCCTCCTACCTAGGGGCTTACTGAAGCTACTAGCTACCTCTTCTGGCACCTACCCCTTTCTACAGGATCAAAAAGCTTGTTGCAGCGCAGCATTGGGAGGTCTTGTTTGATCCATCTGCCCAAAACTGGAGAGCAACTTTGCCTTGGTTCGTCTCTGCAGGATTGCTGTCCTTCACAGCAGCAGCTTTGGTTTAAGATGGAAGTTGCACGCCATTGGTTTCTATATACGGGCTTTGTTTGTTTTGTAGCAGGTTCACACTGATGATTCCAAGGGTGATGCATATTATATACATGATATTACATTGAATCTGCAACAAGCCCGCTGTGGACGTTCGTTGAAAGATTTGGACATGTCGTTTTTAGTTTCAGCCCAGTTGTTTCTGAGAGATCTTTAATTTATGATGATCTATATTTTTTTGAACTCACATGAGACCGTTTCAGACAAGATCAAGGAGCCCCGATTTCGTGTCTGCAATACGCTGTCTACATACATGGGGATCATGGCTCATGTTTCCCCACTTCTGAGGTTTGGTTTTCTGTCATCTCCTGGCGCCGCTCCACAGACTAAGTCGACTTTCGGTCTGAGCGACCGGCATGTTTCATTTGCGCAGAAAAGTGCGAATGTGAAGAAAGCGCGGCTGGGAACTGGTAGCAGGTAGCAGTAGAATTAGAATGAATTATACACAGATAAGTACAGTACAGTAGATAAAATAGATTGAGCTCAGCACAGGTTGAGGCTATTTGTTCTGACAACTACTCCAGTAGCACGCATCATAGCAACACAAAGCAGAGAAGGCATGATCGGCCGCTTGGAGATGCTGTTCGTGTCCAATCACCAAGGACTATTGAAAACATCCCGTCAACGTCAACTACGTCGCCAGCGTATCCACACGGCCGGGATGCGTTAGTGCATGGGGGGGGAACTTCGAGCATTTCTGAAGAAGAGACACATAGTGGCATAGTATACTAGGGGCTCCTGGCCTTACTCCTAGGAGCATGGACGCTACTAGGGGCTCCTGGCCTTCCTACTAGGAGCAAGAAGCTACTGCCCAGCAGGCAACTCTTTGTTGCCGAGTTTAGGCCCACATCCTGATTTTTTTAGCCCGCTCGCCGCTCCCCCCCTCCCTACTCAATTAAGTAAGCGCCTATTTGATCAAGTAAGGAACTGAGGTAGCTATAGGACGCATTAGGACGCTATTACATATGGACGCAGGATAGCTCACTAGCTCACGCTTCTTCAAGGAAGCTCCCCCGCTTGCACTATTTGCTTGGCTCCTAGATGTTTGGGGGACATTACTAGCGATGGCCTCTAACCTACTAGCGACGGCCTCCTCATTCATTCATGATCAGACAAGCCGTTTCTGTTACACGGGACGGGGACGGGCTCTTATGGGACGTTGTCACTTGATCTGGACCTCAAGTTATGATAGCACTTCCAAGTTGAACTACGCAGGTCCATTGCTACATCGCGCAAACAACAGTCTGCGCCGTGGCTGCGCCTGCCTCTCAGGAACAAACAATCCAAAATGGTAATCCCCAGCTTTTGAGTGTGACGTGACAGCCAAGGTCTGCCGCGATCCTTTCCAGTGAAGAGGATGACACTGACAGGTGCCAACATACTGTAACTCCTTAAGATTCTTCAAGTACTTCGATGACGGCTAGAATTAGCATCATAGATTATATAATTAGTGCTACATGATCTACATGGTTCAATGGAGCAGAACATGAATCTGAGCAACTTGGAGGTGATCAAACCCTGAATATCCCTGAACCAGCAACATTGAAGAGTATTCGAGGATTAACTATATAACAACATAAATCAATGCTAAGGCAGGTGTTGGTTGGAGTTACATTTGCAAAGTCTCCATTGCAGAAGACGTGTTGTTGTACAAGATGTTGACAGAGTGGTGGCAGCACAGACGCATACGTTCCACTGGGGCACTTTGAACTGATGTTAGATGAAATTATATAGTGCATATACAGTATCATCACAACATACAAATTAAGTTGATCTTTGGTCGCTTCGACTTAGTTGCTGACATCAGAGTGTGGTTCCATGTTCTTTGAGCTGCCAGTTCCACCTTGAACTTCACATGCCGGCGGCCTGGATCCAGCGGTCCAAAGTCAAGGTGCAAGGCAAGACAATGTCGATAGCTGTGAGGGAGCCTTCTATGGGTTTCATGCTGGTTGCAGCAATTGGAGAAAGTCATGGCCTGTTTGCTGGAAGTGGCCCAAGCCTTGTGCGGTACTCTGAGGCCTCACATTTCTGCAAGAGTGCTTGGCATCCATCGCAGAAGCTATCGGAAGGTCAGAGCCTTGGGGGGGTTCTTCTCATAGAACACTCATCCACCAAAGAATGAAAGCTTTCATGTCAGCACCATTCTTGCTCAACAATTAAAACCCTGGTTTGCACAATCAAGGGATATGACATATTTGGTGCAGTGAAGCCCATTGCCGAAGATGAGCCTAGAACAGCCTAGTATCATGTGGTATGACTAAGCCTAAGCATGATGGTCCATGGAGATCCGAAATCATTCGATCTCCGAGGCCACCTCGCATGCCACTCCTTGAACAGAATGGATCCACGTCACTGCTGTGGGCGGTGGCTTGGAGTCAAAGCCAGCAAAAGAAGCAAACAAAAGGAGACAGGAGATGACAGGAGAGACCTAGGCGAACAGGTCTGCAGTGACAGCTGTGACGTGAATCCCCAACAATATCCGAAAATGGAATTTGGAATAAGTTGGACAATGACAGGCCACAGCGAATCACAAGGATACATAGGGATAGGCCCTCCAGCGACATTGACATCTTTATAGTGCCAGGTGGACTTATGCCTCCTCAGCACTTTGGTGGCGGCTTTTTACTTGCTCTGGGCGTTTCTTGGAAGTCCCGCAGAAGATGAGGCCAGTTGCAGGGCTGGCTCAGTGTCAGCGGCGATGAGATAATTCTGAATCTCCTTTGTTTTTCCTCCGCAGGAACCGAAGAGTGTGAGCGAGGAACCCTTTGCAGAGCGTATCTTGGATTGAATCCTTCCTACCAAAGACAAGCGATAGTCCATGTTGTGCATGTGCGCATAATATACGTTAATATTGGATCTTGAATAGTGAAGAGTTCCTGCCCTTCCAGAGCGTAAATTGAATAGGGACAACCCCACCTTGTCTTTGTAGCAGTGGTACTAGTACTAGTCGTAGTCGTAGTAGTCGTCGCCGCCGTCGTTGTCGTAGTAGTAGTGGTCGTGGTCGTGGTCGTGGTGGTAGTAGTAGCAGTAGCAGTATAGCGCAAGCAGTCGTAGTAGTAGTAGTAGTAGTAGTCGTCGTCGTCGTCGTGGTGGTGGTGGTGGTGGGAGTAGTAGTGGTAGTAGCAGCAGTAGTAGCAGTAGCAGCAGCAGCAGTAGTAGTCGTGGTGGTCTACTACTACTACTACTACTACTACTACTACTACTACTACTACTCTGCCTACGCCTACGCCTACTCCTACGCCTACTCCTACTCCTACTCCTACTTCTGCTGCTACTACTACTACTACTCCTTCTCCTCCTACTCCTGCCCCTACTCCTTTGTACTCCTACTCCGACTGCTGCTGCTGCTACTGCTGTGTTTTTTGTTTTTGGTACTACTACTACTGCTACTACCATGGTTGCCGCCATCACCACATATGAAGACCGCCGCTGGTAGATCATACGATTTGCTGTTGGGATCATGATTTTCGTACCAGTTCTTTTTTCTACCTCTAAAAGAGGCTAAACAATGTTAAACATGTAAACATTATCTTAAAGGGAAGCAACACCTGAATGAACACTAGACAAGTAAGCTCAGATTACTATAGTGCTCCAAGTTTGTGCATTCTTCCGACCCCAATAATTCACTTCCTCATCTGGGTTTGAATACTCCCCCGTTGAGAAAATGCTTGGAGCAACGATTTCGATGTGTCTTAACGATGGTATTTGAAAACGGCTCTCAGGTCAGAGTTCACGGACGCAAACAAAACCGCTCAAGAGGTTTAACAAGGATCTGAAAGAGAAGCGACAACGAAACAGTAGAAAACTAAACCTCGCGTTAAACAACGCCCTGGGCAAAAAATATTCCGACCCCCACTAAGTATTCAGTGTGTGGAAATTGTTTCAGGAACTCCTCCTATATTGTCCTATTTTTTCATCCCCTTGACCATTTGGAATTGAACAGTATGTGTATAGATTTGTACCCCGTCTATGAACGTGTTGTGATGCAGAACAATCAAGATCAAATGTCATACCACAAAGCCGTTTTGTCACGGGATTTGAGTTTATTCGTGTGTTTTTTTTGCAACGAGGAGTGTTAATGCGCTGCCGCGTGCTAATCGTTATGATTCTGCCAAGACCTTGGTCGTTTGATGCCATTTTCCTGCAAACTTGAATCCTTGGAGCAATTTGCAAGGTCTGCTCTTGCTGGGGGATTTCTAAACGCCAGCTTCTCAGGTTGTTCACAACGTTATTTTCAGCATGGCTACTTCTACTTGAAGGGGCAGAACCAGAGATCAACCCGCCTTTTGAGCATGCATTCCTTTCTGCCCAGGTTAAACATTCCATACATTCGGCACTGTTTCTGGCCCTTTAGCTGCGTGGGGAGCTTGGGAATGAACATACTGTGAAAATAGCAGTCTTTTCGTTCCGGAAAGGAAAAAACAAATCGAAAAGGATCGAATAGCAGGTCTGGCAGCCTGAGTGACCATACCGTCGGTAAGCTGAGGCCTTTGCAGAGCAGCAGCTCCGCCGGAAGGAACGGAAACTGTGAAACAGAGCTGAAACAAAGCAGGGGTCCTTTTATAATCTTTTATAAGCTACTAGGAACAAGTGCATCGCTTCTAGTAACAAGTGCTTTACTAGTAGTAACAAGAAGCCATTAGAAACAAGTGCATCGCTTCTAGTAACAAGTGCGTTACTACTAGGAGCAAAGGACGCTAC